TTCCAGCCAAATATGAAGAAATCACACTATCACGCTTGAATTCCATCACGAATAACTTTTTTCTGGAAAATTCTCATCAAAACGCTTTTGTACGCTTGTAAACAATATAATGAGATGTCAATAGAATAATTTTAACAGCTGACGGCCGAGTGGCTTAAAATGACAGCAGTCTGAAGTTGGTTGCAGTTTTTTCATCTCACCCTGTATATAGGTCTACGATATCGTATATCGCCATGTAACGATACCTCACAATATTCTACCCAAATTTTGCTATGGAATTGTCTGAAAATCCACACAAGCAGTTCCTTTCGAGTCATCTCAAGAAGAGAATTGTCGATATGGGTCCACGATATCGTATAGCCGCCATACAATTGTAACCCTCGATATTCGCTGTTTAAATTATTTAAACGAAAATTTTTACGGAATTCTTTCAAATTTCGTATTTAAAGTTCGGCTAGTACTCATGCCTATGAAAAAAAATGCGTACACAGGTAACCCATCTTCTTATAGCCCCCATATAAGGAAACCTCCTGATATTCGGTACTTTGATGATTTTAAGAACATTATTCACCGGAATTGTTTCACTACAATCTATGACGTAAAATTGTCTTGGTAGGTCCAAGTCTTCGTATAGTCCACATATAAAGGTGCCTCTACTTCTTCGATATTCTGACGATATAAACTACATTATTTACCGGAATTTTTTCCAGTTTGATGATATTAGAGACATTTTTACCGAAATTGTTTAAAATTTCGTATTTAAAGTTGGCAAAGGGTACTACAGTCTATGACAAAAAAATTGTATATGCAGGACCATGCCTCCGTATATAACGGTTTTCCTTTGAACGGTATTTTTCGACGGGACTTTTTGGAAATTTTTCAAGTTCCTTCAAATTGGTGGAGGGTATTATTACAATTTTGCATATAATTGTCTCCCATACCCGTATTCATATTAAAAATCAAATATTGAGAATTGTTTTTTTTTCCACGAAACATGTATATCAATCTGTTGAACATTTGCCTGACAAATAACAAATTTTAATAATAATCCCAAGTTCTATGCGCTGCAGTGTGTCTGCGTGAATTTGAAGGCCCACCAGCATCAGCCAGCTTCGTCATCGCCAGTAATGTGACAGGAATTTATGATCTCAACTTTGGGGAATTAACAACGATCATCATCCGAAAATGGCATGACACACTTGTGGTGCAGTAACAACGTTGCATTCCACCACACTGGCGAGTGCACTCCATTCCGCTTGGCATAATCGAGTGTGATTTATTCACATTTCCGTTTCGATGCAATTTCAAATGAAACGTTGAATTTGCAAGCGCCAAATAAGTGGGTGCCGGGCATAATCCATGCCATTCGATGACACCTACCACACCACTGGCTTGGGATGCGTTTTTGTCGAAATAACCAAGTTTTAAAAATAAAGAAAATCCGAAAAAGAAGTGCTGGCGTACAAATTAATTACCCGAACGTCACACATGCTCACCGAATTAAGAATTTCTGTTGGAATACAAAATATTTCCGGGAACAAAACTGCAGCGATCAAGTAATATAAGATCCAATTAGTTTATATGATTAACTAATTTCCCACATAAAGTATGAGCGGATTGCAGCATCCAGAGCAGAAGTAGAAGTAGGCAATTTATGCTGTTGTGGCAAAGAATTCCTTAAAGACCAATAAATCATGGCGATCAACTGACACCATCAGCCCAGTGAGAAAACTGATTGGGAGGAGCCGCATCCAAAACATTCTACGTTTCAGTTCCCAAAATGTGGAGGGCATGCAATCTGCCTCTTCGACCAGAATATGGGAGGCATAAAAAATGAATTATGCGCCTCTTAAGGCAAGTTAGGGCTAATATTTTTCCTCTTTTCCAAAGCAGGGTCGTTCGGTCGCTGGATATGCTCCCATTCCATTGCTCCACAATTTAATTGAGAGACAAACGTTTTTACGCTGTGTAACTTGAAAACAAAAAAACGAACTGAGGCACACACTTGATTTACTCATCGAAAATGGAAAGATGAAGATGAAGAAATTATCATTTCATTTGTGTGTATTAACAATTTGAGGAAAATTTAAGGGGCGAGGTTAGGTTATTATGACACTTTATGACCGCGTAAAAAGATTTATGGTTATTTAAGATATTTAAAAGAAAATCTTTCCCTTTCAAAATAAAAAAAAAAAAAACAAACATACGGAGAATTTTTTATGTCTTGGCATTGTGAGTTTGTGTGTTCCTCGTTCTTGATGGCATGCCCAACATACCAAGGTGTGTTACATTTGGGGGTTCTGGTATTGGGGGAGGACGACACACATCAATTTTCAATAGTCATCAAGAATTTATTACGACAAGCAAAACTATTGATTTTTTAGAGGGCAGTAGGGGAAGAAGAGTGTTTTTTATGGATTTTTTAATTGTTATAAAAACTTGATTTATTTAATGCCTAGATGTATAGTGGGGTAGGAGGTCTGGCAGGCAATAAACGTCGTTTTAAGGTAAATGCCTTAAATTTCATTTAATTAAATTGTTTTTTAATTAAAAAAGAAAAAAACGAAAGGAGGTAGCTTGCAGTGGTCGTGGAATGAACATTTCATGTTTGTAGAACAATGTTTCGGTTTCTGCCGGATCGTCATGTAGAAATATACTTTTTGACCAGTGGATCTACAGCAAAATTAGACTGGAAAAATGTTTTTTGGCCCCAAACATTTTTCCATCATAAGCATAAAGTGCAAGTCTCTACACCCTCTCTCTATAATCCTTAGAATTGGGTCATATATAAATGTGACCAAGGCGGTTAATAAATAGACGTTAAAGACTGTCGAGCAGACACAAATATATAGGTGGAAATCAAGCTCATTGAAACTATTACACTGTGATACAAATATTAATTAAAAAAGAAAGAAAAAAATATATAATAATAATAATATTAATAATAATAACAATAATAATAATAATAATAATATAATGAATAATAATAATAATAATAATATAATTAATAATAATAATAATAATAATAATAATAATAATAATAATAATAATAATAATAATAAGAATAATTATAATTTTAATAATAATAATAATAATAATAATAATAATAATAATAATAATAATATAATGAATAATAATAATAATAATAATAATAATAATAATAATAATAATAATAATAATAATATAATTAATAATAATAATATAATTAATAATAATAATAATAATAATAATAATAATAATAATAATAATAATAATAATAATAATAATAATAATAATAATAATAATAATAATAATAATAATAATAATAAGAAGAAGAATAATTACAATTATAATAATAATAATATATAATAATAATAATAATAATAATAATAATAATAATAATAATAATAATAATAATAATAATAATAATAATAATAATAATATAATAATAATAATAATAATAATAATAATAATAATAATAATAATAATAATAATAATAATAATAATAATATAATAATAATAATAATAATAATAATAATAATAATAATAATAATAATAATAATAATAATAATAATAATAATAATAATAATAATAATAATAATAATAATAATAATAATAATAATAATAATAATAATAGTAATAATAATAATAATAATAATAATAATAATAATAATAATAATAATAAAAACCATAATAATAAGTTTATATTGTGAATTTATGTGAGGTCAATAATTAGTTTCGCCAAATTGTAAAATTCTGTAGAATATGAAAAAATCTACTTTATTTGGGCTGATATTACATGTATGTTAAGCAATAGCCTTAAAGTAGGATAAAGATATATATCGAAGCTATATATACCCGTGAACCAATCTCGATGAAATTTAGGAGAGGTATTTTTGAGCAGCATCTGATGCCCGGTATCAAATAATATGGTTGTGGAGTGCATATTACGCATGTGAGGGACTTTAACGCCAAATCGGATAACACATATATGTGGGAGCTATAGCTATATCCGAATGGAGTTTCACCAAATTCGTAGAACTTGTTTCTTTACAGAAAGAAAATAGACTCAAAAGAGCTAAAGAGTCGCTTCGCTTGGCCGAAAGTTGTGAACTGTCGAATACGATTTTCTCCGATGAGATAACATTCGTTGTCCAAGAGTTTGTAGACAAACAAAATGATCGTGTTTACTTGCCAAAGAGGTCAGCTGAAAATGTACACCTTCGGTTGGCCACAAGAACTTAAGCGTAGGCCATGAAGATGGTGTGGGCCGCCATAACAGCCTATGGTCGCTCTTCGCTCGTATTAATCGATCGTGACATCAGAATAAATATCCAATATTATCGCGAAAATATTCTGGAGGGTGTATTAAAGCCTTGGGCACGCAAACATTTTGGCTGCAGACCTTGGACATTTCCAACAGGACTCAGCACCATCGCACTCAGTCTGCGCCACCCAAGAACGGTTACAAAATGAGGTTCCTCGCTTCATTTCCAGCGTACAATGGCCACCAAAATCTCTGGATACCAAATCCATTGGACTATTGTGTCCGGAGTATTTTGGAAAGCAAGGTTGGCACTAAAAAATACCAAAGTGTCGATAACTTTAAGCAAGCGCTTCGCCCGGAATGGGCAAAAATACCACAGAGCAACATTCGGGCAGCGTCTGACGGTTTCACTGGTCGTTTGAAGGCCATAATTCGTGCCAAAGGTGACCAATTCGAACAAATCTAAACTCAATCTAAAATTTGATGCTATTTCCGACATTTTCTGCTTTCATTCAATAAAATTTAAAACCAGTTTTTTTATCTCACCCTGTAGGTGTCGAAGTGATAAAATATAACAATCGTAAAATGAAACAATTTGACAGAAGTAAAGAGGTTATTAGAATCAAATTCTCATAATCATAAAAATCTTGGATTGATCCTATTTAATTATGGACACTTATTTTCCAAAAATAAAAAAACGTATACCTTGTTAAATAAATCTCGATCGTATTTTACATAAAGACAGTTTACATACCTGTAGTTTCACCAATTCGGGATGATCATTGGCCAACTTTGCCAATTCCTGGTAGTTCGCCTTAGCCATGGCAACGATCCATTCCTTGGCCTTTGGATGGGCCAACGTTACTTCCGGTAACTCCTTCTCTTCTACAAACTGCAAAAAAAAAAAACAACATTTAATTTAAATAAAATGCTGAATAAATAAATTTCGAAAAAGCATAAAAGCCCCTACAAAAGTCATTACTTTGATACCGTAGCAGATTCCCTGGCGTATACAATGAACTACATTATCCTGCTCTGAGACATTATGGGCAAACTTCAAAATAGGCCTTCCCTTTTGTGGCTGTTACTTCTTTTTATGGTTTTAATTGTAATAATTTTAATTTATTAGTCCGGTAAAAATACGAAATAGCTTTAACATTAACATCTAAATGCATGAACATCCTTTCACACATAATTAACTACATATGTGAGTGCGTGTGTAAATTATCGCTAATGAGGCTGGAATGTTACAACCCTTATGAAAAAACAACAACAACAACGTAAGGAATTAAACGGATTTTCCTTGTTTTACCCTCTAACGCTACATGGAAATTTAGAAGAAATCTTGGCGAAAACTCTTTAGCCATAAAACATGTAAATCTTATTAACAAAAAAAACAAAAAAAAAAAAAACAATTTCACAGACATTATTTTATGCACATTGGATTAGTTGTTCAAAACTTTGATATTGAATCAAAAATTGTGACAAGTACTTAGTATGAAGAATACCCAATAAAAAATTGGGAGCTTAATAGCTTATTAAAAAAAAAATAAACAAAAAACTTTCTGCATTTCCAGTAGGTTGGAAATAATGGGTTATTACTAAAACTAATTAAGAATGAACCTAGGTCCACGTTCTGGACCTATAAAAATCTAGCTATTGACCCATATATAGGTCAAACCCATTGGTCACTCTCTTGAGGATTAAAAGTTTCGACTAAAAATATCCTCGCATGTTTGTCAGTAATATTGCAGAATGCACTACAGGTTGAGATAAAAAACTGCAACAAAGTCAAACGCCATAATTTTTACATTTTTTTTAAATTTTATTGAATGAAACCAATAAATGTCGGAAATAGCATCAAATTTTATAAGTTTAGATTTGTTGGAATTTGTCACCGTTGGCACGAATTAAGGCCTTCAAACGGCCATTGAAACTGTCACACGCTGCCCGAATGTTGCTCGGTCCTCCCCATCAAGTACCTCCACCACAAAGTGTCTAAATTTTGAATAATTATATACTTCTGGTACCTCCCTTAAACGCTCAAAATTGTGAATATCCAAGAAGCTCTTAAAACATGGGGATTTAACATCCGATTCCATTCAGACTTGCCACATTTCAATATTTCCATCAACACAAGATCTGTTGCAAAGATGGTAGAGATCGTACCAATTTTTCTGTTGCCTTCCCCACAAAGGGTCAACGTTTTGAACAACCAAAACGACTATAAAATAAGAAAAGCCGGTTACCTTCCCACAAGGACTCAAAATTTTGAATATCCATGAAGCTCATAAAACGCGAAATTAATATCCAATTCCATTCAGACTTACAACATCTCTATATTTCCAACAACACAAGATCTGTTAGAGAGATCGGACCATTTCTTCTGGTACCTCCCTCACAAGATTTTGAAAAATAAAACGTTCAAAGAAAGCGAAAGAAGCATGCAACTCTTTTCAAATTTTACACATATAAACATTTTTGCTAACACAAGATCTGTTGTGAAGATGATATATATCTGCGAACCCCTTCAGGTTCCTCACCCACAGTTTTCAATATTTTTATCTGTCATAACTTTCTTTTTTTATCTGTATTAGATGAAGTATGAAATACATAGGTTTACTATAACTGGTACCTCACGCACATTTTAAGATTTTCTAAAAATTAGCACATATCTCATATACAGGGTGAGATAAAAAAACTGCAACAAAGTCAAACGCCATAATTTTGGCACGAATTATGGCCTTCCAAAGGCCACGCTTGTATTCCATTACGAACCACTTTTTTCTGGAAAATTATCACCAAAATGCTTTTGTACGCTTGTAAACAATATAATGAGCTGTCAATGGATTAGTGGCTTAAAAATGACAGCAGTCTGAAGTTGGTTGCAGTTTTTTCATACCACCCTGTAAAGTAAACCTGGCACTCGAAATATTTATATCATATTTATGTAGGTCCCATATTAAATTTACAATATTAGCTACTTCCTTTGAATAATGACAACAGAAATCAAAATGTATTTAAATAATCGGACATTGACTGAGGGTATACATCTATCGGCAAACCGACTTATACTTGTTAATATTTGCGGATTTTTAATGCAATATTCAGCCAATCAAGTTTGAAAATATGGCTGAAATCTAAAAATTCCATAAAAGGCAAATATTAAAAAATATGGGTTGGAAACTCAAGCATCCGATAAATACTACGCAAAGCATTTCCTTTTTAAAACTGAAATACAAATTTAAAAGTTCGACATTTTATTCACACATACAACCACAGTGACATTTGACATTTGAACAGCCAACCGCTTCCTTCCTTCCTTCCGTCCTTCCAACCATTCTAATGATAATATATTTCCACAAAAACAGCAACAACAAGCGAAAACGCCAAAGTAGGCATATGTGTATTCGAGGCTTCTTCCGCTTTTCCACGAAATCTTCATTTGTTTTCTTCTTCTGTTTTTTTTTTTAATTTCATGTTGCTGTAAGCTTATTTTGTTATTTGCTTGTTGTTTTTTTTTCATACGCCTCCCCGAAAACATGTGTGCTGAGTGTGTTATTTATTACGAAGATAACATTCTTCTTATTAGCGTTTTTCGTTAGTATTTTGGCAACTAATTATCTCCGTTTTTTATGGAGTTGTGAAAATATGTTTCTCCGGTTCTTTGGAACGGAACAAAAGATACAAGTACTTGGAGAGCCCTTTATGAATTCTTTGGAAAGTGGCAAAATGGGGTAGACCCCTCCCTCCCCAACACTCCCAATTGACGCGTGCTTGTGTGTGTGCGGTTGTTAGATACACGTGCTCATTATGGCCTTATGTGCTGCAGGAAAGTACAGCGTTTACGGCTGCTTGAACAACACCTTTTCGCGATTGCGTCCTCTTCTATTGTGTCGGCGAACTTGTTTTTATGAACAATTAGTTTGCTAATAAATAATATTAATAAGCATGTATGTGTGATATAAATGTTTTGATGTTTGTAAAGTGTAACTGTATGAGTGCGCCCAAGTGGACGGAAACAAGTTCGCTCCACAACAACAATAGTTAAGAAGATGGCACACGTGCTGCCTGTGTTACTATTTTGTGCTGATACTGTGTTTAACCTTCTTTTTTTTCAAGAATTTTTCAAGTACTCAACGCCGGAATCATAATAAGTAGTCATAAACTTTTGGTAATTGTTATATGTTAGAATGTAAGAAAGAAGTATATTTTGGAGTAGAGCAATACCACACGTGCTGCCCATTTTGTCCACTTGACTTTTGGTTAAACAAGTTTGGGAAAAATTAAAGCTAGTTGTTAAACCATAGACGTCGAACATTTCTATCGAATTAATTGTCTGGACTGTGGGAATAAAATATTTTCATAGATATCTGTAATTTTGGAAAGAAGAGCGACCCCTTGGTAATAATGAAATATTGGTGGCTTCAGCGATTTTTAAAACAAATATGCGAAAAAAAAATTAGAATAGATCCTTCTTTACAAGGAGTTTCAAGGAAAGCTTCGGAAGATGCTTCGGAATAGGTTATTATGCTTGTCATATCCGATTTGTGAACGGTTCTTAGATTTGTTAACTGTCAGTTGAAACAAATTATTCCCCAAAAATTTTGCAAATTTGAATTTTAATTTCAACCACACGAACAAAAATGCGGTGCATATGTTTCGACATTACAAAAGTACTAAGTACAAAAGTTCTAAGCCACTCGTCTGACAGCTGTTAAAATTATTCCAATGACAGCTCATTATATTGTTTACAAGCGTACAAAAGCATTTTGATGAGAATTTCCCAGAAAAAAGTTATTCGTAATGGAATTCAAGCGTGATAGTGTGATATCTTTATATTTGGCTGGATAACCACAAGTGGCTATCGTTAGAGCACTCCAGCATTTAAATGTGAATAAATCTTTTGTGTCTCGTACCATCGCTCGTTACCGTGATACTGGTAGCGTAGTCCGTAGAAATGGTTCGAAAAGTAAAGAAGCGAATTGATCTAAACCCGCGTCGCAGAGACCGAAAAATGGCTCGTGAGCTAAACATATCACAATATTCCATTCGTCAAATATTGAAAAATGAGCTCGGGGTAAAGCCATTGAAATTCCAAAAAGTGCAAGAACTTACACCGCAACAGAAAGATGGTCAGTTGAAAATGTGCACCTTCGGTTGGCCACCAGAACTCCATGGTGATGGTGTGGGCCTCCGCTCTCTGCTAGCATTAATCGACCGTGGCATCAGAATAAATGCCGAATATTATCGCGAAAATATTCTGGAGGGTGTATTAAAGCCTTGGGCACGCAAACATTTCGGCCGCTGACCTTGGACATTTTAACAGGACTCAGCACCATCGCACTCAGCACGCGCCACCCAAGAATGGCTACAAAATGAGGTTCCTCGCTTCATTTCCAGCGCACAATGGCCACCAAAGTCTCCGGATACCAATCCGTTGGACTATTGTGTCTGGAGTATTTTGGAAAGCAAGGTTGGCACTAAAAAATCCAAAGTGTCGATCACCTCAAGCAAGCGCTTCGCCGGAAATGGGCCAAAATACCGCAAAGCAACATTCGGGAAGCGTGTGACGATTTCATTGGCAGAAAGGTGACCAATTCGAACAAAATCTAAACTTATTCTAAAATTTGATGCTATTTCCGTCATTTTTTGCTTTCATTCGATTAAGATTTGAAAAAAATGAAAAATTATGGCGTTTGACTTTGTTGCAGTTTTTTTTATCTGCTGTGTTTTCTAAGCCACTCGTTGTCATTTGGAAGTAGGAGGAAGAGTGGGCCGATAAGTTCCATATTCACTCCAGATCTCTGATTAAGAGAAATATTTAAGTATATACCGCTTACTTGGTTTTCAAGTTATAAGAGATATAAATATTGAAAGTTGTGAAAATCAGATG